GCCGTTAGGCCATATCTATGGCTAGGTCATATCATGCCCCGGCTATATTCAGGACCCCCGACAGAAGCCAGGGTGGGGCTTCGAAATAACTAAAAATTACACCCTACAAGGGGACAACGATTATTGCATTAAGAGTCTGTCTTGTTAAATAGACGCCCTTAAATAATCAAAAATATGTTTCATTTTAGTGACAGATCTTTCGCAGCTGACGATAGAAACTGCTATGGTTAGCATCATGTGAACAGTGCGATTAGGAAAGACACGCATCACCATACTGAACAGTAAATTTGAGACGTTCTGCAGGTCGTGTTATGTTTATGTTGGTACTTCTGCGCTTTGCTCTTTCTATCTTATTCTGTGTACTTTTTTCTCCCCTTTCTGCCACTCTCTGGTGCAGCGGTTCCCAACCTGCTTTGCCCGACCCTTTTTGGGTCAAACGACCCTTTCACAAGGATCGCCTAAGACCATCGGAAAACATATTCATTGAAGCTGGGTTAGTTGCGAATCCTTTACAGGACGTTGCAGAACCAGCCCTAACAGCCCCTGGCTGTTGTGTGGTTTTTGCAAGGTAATTTACGTCCAGTAGTTTGCCATTGCTGGCTGGACGGTCGGCTTTCTTGATACCGCTGTCGAAACCAACGCAAGGCGCATGGCCCGCAGCTGGGATCGAACCCTGCATCCCGGCATTACGAAGCGTTCGCATCGACTTAGCCAGAGAGCCGACTCATTGAAGTTATGAAGGGAAATAATTGTTTGTAGGTCGCCACAACATGAAGGAACTGTATTAAAGAGTTGCGGTATTAGAAAGTTTGACAGCCACTGACTTAGTGGTAGCCTCCCTCCCCGTCTTTCGAGTTATTAATGTTTCCATCCCCATCGTTTTCATGCCAAACAGCACGGCACGGAAGAGAACCTACATTGTTACAAAAAAAAAAAAAACAACTGGCACTCATTGAATAACGTAGTCACCATCACACTGACCGCCTTTACTTTCCACTACAGTTTCCCAGCAAGAATTCTACGCTGACCATTAACTGGGAGCCTAGGTTTAAAAATAATAAGGAAAAATTAGTGTGTACATGTATAAGAATTTAAACCGACGACCAATGTCAGTGGTATCGACGCAAATAAAGCACAGGGGGGAACATTGATGAAATCTGTTTAATAAGAATAATTACTATAATAATGAAAATGAGAAAGAAGATGACGTGCTGTATGGCAAAGTAAAAACAAAAAGGATTAAAAACGGATGGGGTGGTGGGGGGGGGGGTGGGGGGGGGGGGGATAAGCCTCTGACCAGGGCCATCTTAAAGTATGGCACCGCTGGGCACTTTTCCTGGCCCCCACGAGCGTAAGGCAAGCATGGTCCTCTGTGTGTGTTTAGTGACTTGCCATTAAAAAAATGTATCTGACGTTTAGATTATTTCTTTCTGATACAAAACCGAAGGGATCCCCCTCCCCAACGTGGTAAAGTAACAGTAAATTAAATTAATATATATATATATATATATATATATATATATATATATATATATATATATATATATATATATATATATTATCGACTATTTACACTTCATTCCTGTGAGTAATTTGTCGTAGGGGTCCCTTAACACTGGTTTTTCCAAGGGCTCATAATGCTGCTAAGACGGATCTGCCTCTTTGGTGCCTATAGGGTGGAGAGGGCCTGGAAAAACTGTTGAGGTAGGTAGGTAGCTCTGAGGTAGCTCTGACCAGGATGTGAGGTGCTTTGTGAGCAAGCTTTACCATCAATACGTTAACTAAAGCTATAAATAGGTTAGTTGCGTATCCTTTACAGGACGTTACATAACCAACCTCAACAGCCCCTGGGTTTTGCGTGGTTTTTCTAGGCAAATTTACGTCCAGTAGTTTGCCATTGCCTACTCAGCGGTCGGCTTTCTTGATACCACTGTCGAAACCAACGCAAGGCGCATGGCCCGCAGCTGGGATCGAACCTGGCATCCCGGCATTATGAAGCGTTCGCATCGACTTAGCCACAGAAATGACAAAGCTATAATTACAGCTAGCTAGATTAAGCAGGTGCTTTCATGGCGAAACTTCATCGGTACTAACAATTTGTCGGTCCAGCGTGAGGTACAGCACCATAATGCCACCTGCTAAAGTGCCGCTTCCCCGCTTCTTCACGTGTTTGTACTTTTTCAAATAACTTCCTGTGCATGTGCAGTGCCAGACCAAGCGCTCCCTGTCTGCTATGCAACACGTGTGGTAAATAAGTTCACAATTAGGCGAAATAATAATAAAAATAATAAATAATAATTCATGAATGAGCGCAGGGTGTTTTGGCTGTCGACTACTCGATAAACCGCAATCGATCAGTGCTATTCTTGTAAACAGATTATCTTGTCCTCCCTTTGCAACAACGTTTTCATTTACTGTTAGTGTCTTATGCTATAAACAAGACATCCGTTGAGATAGTCACTGTTGTTAGTCAGCCCAGAATAAAGAAAATTCATAGGATTAAATGTAAGTATATAATCGTATTCCACAAGCTGTAGAAATAGGAAACCTTAGATAGAAAATCGTATTCGACAAGCTGTAGAAATAGGAAACCTTAGATAGAAAATCGTATTCGACAAGCTGTTGGAATTGGAAACCTTAGGTAGACAATTCTATTTGACAAGCTGTATAAATAGGAAACCTTAGGTAGACAATTCTATTTGACAAGCTGTATAAATAGGAAACCTTAGGTAGAAAATTCTATTTGACAAGCTGTATAAATAGGAAACCTTAGGTAGAAAATTCTATTTGACAAGCTGTATAAATAGGAAACCTTAGGTAGAAAATTCTATTTGACAAGCTGTATAAATAGGAAACCTTAGGTAGAAAATTCTATTTGACAAGCTGTATAAATAGGAAACCTTAGGTAGAAAATCTAAGAAAAGCACCACAAGGCGTAGATATCTGAACCTGGGGACTCAAGCCTCTTGAGGCACCCACACCCCCACCCTATTTTGGAGCTCATGTAACATACATTTTGTGGTGAGTACTGCACCCCCTCCCCACCGCCCGCCCCTTTCTTTCTAGACAAAAAACCTTTCCGTTTCTTCAAATTAGTGTTTTGTCGTCCTGTTAATTACTTTCGTAAGCTTATTTTTATTATTTTCTGAGTCTTAAAATTAAAGTTGTTGAGAGAATCGAATTAATTGACGGAGTCTGGCTGACTGACTTTCTACCCCACCAGGACATCACACAAGCGATAAACACCCGGTGACACAAAGTATCACCATGTGGATGAGGATCGCCGTGGAGAGGTCCCTGAAACCGCGTTCAGACAATCGGCCATATTCAAGGCCTGCCTATATTGCGACCCATGGCAAATGCCAGGGTTGGGCTTCAAATAACAACAAATTTCGTCCTTAAACGGACAAAACTGGATACAATATTGACCGAGTTCTAGCCCAAACAGCTCAGCCTCTCTCTCCTCAGAATCGCTAGTGGCCTGTCGAAAGCGTTGTACAAAGCATAAACTCCCTAACTCCCAAAATTAAGACTTTGGTTAAAACTAATGCTTATGTCTGTGTCTCTTTCCTGTCAGTACACTCGAGAAATCAATAATTGGCAAGACTGATGGGGTTTTAGTTGGAGGAAAAAAAAGGGGAAAAAAAGGGGAGGGGGGGGGGGTGATGTTGCAAAGGAAAGACGAGACAATTGTCTGGATGGCTTCACAATGTGGACAAGACTGGACAAGGGAACTAATCTGTGATTCTCCTGATCTCATGCGGTGGCGAGCCGTTGGAGGCATGACCACCTTTGATTATTACAAGGAACGCAAAGGGGGGGGGGGGGGGGGGGTAAGGAGTATGACCCGCAGCTGGGATCGAACTCGGCACCCCGCATTACGAAGCGTTCGCGTAGACTTAGCCACAGAGCCGACATCCCTTTACACCTGGCTGTAATATTAACTCAGACAATCTTGCGTGTTACGAAAATTTAAAAAAAAAATTCTTTGGGTATACAGGGCTAATTGGGTATACAGGGCTAGACCTATACTTTATAGACCAACCGGTACCTGGTGGGTGATATGGTCAGCATCACGCCGGCCGCCTTCACTTCCCAGGACTGTACCTGGTACGCAGTCAATGCTGGGTCAACCTGGAAGCCAAGATCATTTCTGAAAAACGTCTGGCCGCCGTAAGGATCCGAACCCACGACATTCCGTAGCCGCTAGACCACGGCAGCTTTCTTACAAAATGCTGGCTCTTAAAAATTATATTTATATACTTTTGTTATTATGATATTGCAAAATAAACATAATTTAAAAATACAGTACAATTGTTGCGTGAAAGATGAGTGTTCTGAAGTGTAAGACCGGCCTGCCTGCCAAATTGGTGACGCTCTAACAAAAAAAATAAAGTTCGTCGCTCGTTTTCTTTACTGTTACTACGAATCCACACATTACCAGTGTTACCTCAACACCCCAATGCCCGCCATCAATTACCATAACGCTTTAGTAGCAACACATCACACCTTTAGAGAAATAACTGCCGAAAACAGAAAGAGTTAAGAAAGCACCGCCCCTTCCAGATAAAAACCGTCTTAATTCATGGCTAAAGATTGGTTGAACGATTAAACAAACGGATTTTGACACCGATTTAACGCTGGTGGTGTCGGAAACATGTCACTTCCAATCAGTTAGATTCCGCGTTCGAAACCCGGTGTGCTAATGTATGCGTCACGTGATAGCAGCCGCCAATCACTGTCGATTACTGCTTTTTGGAGGAATGCATTCGGGACACGGACGTGGGAGGCGAAGCTCACGTTACTTAGTGTGTTGTGAAACTTCGGTTCTGGCAGGTTGTGGACGTTCTCTCTGTGATATGGAATAACTTGTACATTCGCAAATTTGGATTACCACTGGAAGGATGTCTCTTAGCGTGTATATATTTCATATTGCACCAGTTGTTATTGATATATCGACATCGGGGGAGCACTAATATCGTGTTCAATGTCGGGCCAATATGGCCGCCGTGTTGTTGTATGTATGTTCGGCATTGGTTGTTTGGGTGTGCTGTTGGATGCCACCGGTTGTTTCGGACAATGTGCGGTGTCCTTCGTCATGCACTTGTCTAGGAAATAATGTTGATTGCAGCAATTTTGGCCTGATCAACATCCCCAGAGATATTCCAGTATGGGCGACTAGATTGTAAGTATATTGGGTGCCGTTGCGGGCGAGTCCATGTTAGATAGAGAACACACTTCAACATCGGCTACACATTACATTTTCATTGATAAACCCAGTTGAGATTCTTCATTACATACCTCAAAAACTGTTATATAGTTATTAAATTTCTGCAGGACTTATAATTGTATAAATGGACACGTAATAATGAAAATTAGGAACAGTTGCTGTAGAATTAATAAGTGTTTCTAAAATTTGACATATAACCTAACCGACGAACCTGAAAGATGTAGAAAAGTTAAAAGAAACTAAAGAAACCAAGGGGCTACTTAGACTAGTCGCTTAACTTACACAACCATTATCTTTACATTATTAATTAACACGTTTAGATTGTTTGTTTAACGCGTTAGTTTTACCTTAAGCGTTACATTCGCAACTCTGTTAGATATTTTGTTAAATCTTTGACCGTTACTCTTGCCTGTATTTAGAAGTACATAAACAAACAGGTAATTTTTATAATAATGAATAATGTGGAAATGTCTTATCTATTATCCTGCCGAAACAGATAAATAACAATAATTGCAGTATCAAGTAATATCTTCACTAACTTTTCAGACCCCCCCCCCCCCCCAAGACATTTTTAGTGTGTATCATGGTTTTATTCCGTGGATAAGCACACGTTAAACACATACAGGGCGCTACGTATTAACGAGAATATCAATTTTGCAATCATGGGAAAAAATGTAAGCCTAGGTATTGAATCTGATTTACATTTACTATGAGACAATAATAAAGGCAGGATGTGATTGTCTAAGCTTATTATTTTTTTTTTTTCTAACATTATCCTGTACTTGATACTGACACTGAGTTTACTGCTTTGTATGTCTTTTCATACACAGTATGTTTTACTTTGAAAGAAGTTTGATCTTACAAAGAATTCACATGATGAACATCAACTGTCAGTAGCTTCTAACCTTGTACCTTGCTGGCAAATGTTGGCAGTTATGGCTGTGTCTCTCAGCAGCCATCAGTCTTGGATCAGGTCTTTGGTCTTGTACTAGTATTTAAGCTATGTTGTCGCATCGTTTAGCTGTTTATTTCTTTTCTTGTGGTCTTCTCCCATCAAATTTGTCACTCATTTTTAAAGTTAATTACTCCTGAGTAACTAACACCCAAAAATACTGACTCTGCATCTAACATCTGTAATCAGTTTTCATGTTTCTAGGAGGACTGTCTCATTGGTCAGTTAGCCCTGTTTCCTGGTAGACAGTTATTAGCTTGTTCTGTTTGAAGCAGAGGTTAATTTACTTGAATAAATGTTTCGGCCGCATAGGTGTACGTGTGAAATAAGGACGCATTTGCAAAATGGATTATGGCAACCCTGTGAATGTTACATTTAAAGTTCAAATAATTCTCTTGAACAAAAGTGGTTACAGTAACTATTTGTTCAGTGGCGTCGACGTAACAGTTTAACGACAGGAATTTAGAAAAGCACGTAATGTCAGGAGAAATCAGTAACGATATACTAGGCCACCTGGCACTAAACAAGTTATACTGAAAATGCTTTGAAGCTGTTTGCTGTTATTGTACATTTATAATTAGCATTATATGAACTCTTCTTCTTCGCGTCCTCCGGCAGAAAGTTCTGGTTGTTTCTCCACCTCTTGACTTTAGTCTTGTTCCAGAACCTGAGTGTTGCATGCACATCCGTTTAACAGATCTGACTTAATCTGTGCAAATTGTTGGTTCCTTGCTTGTCAGGCAGATGCACTGCAACTGCGAAGAAAACCCCCAATTAGTCAACTCTTACGACATGCTAGTTTGGGGGGCAGTAGGTCTGTTTCGCTTTCCCCACATTGGGGTCCCGGAACCAACACAGGGAGTTATGTGAAGTATAATGCAAAGCTTGACATTAATGTATGTAATACATGAATGAGCAAACACTAATAATATACATTGCATCATTTTAAAACAGTGCATCTGTTATTTTGTGTATTGAGAGGTCCGGCTAAAAAAATTTGACAAGATATATCAAAATGTGTCTAATTTGTGCACTATATTGTTTTTGTCCGCATTATTAAAATTCATTAAGGGGAAACTTTGTTTTTAAAATATAGTTTCATTGTTATTTGCTGGATAAGTTTTTTCTTCACATGGTCTTGCTCATATTATTTATATTTTTATGTTTAAAAAAAAACTAAAATAAATACAGTCATTGACATTCAAGAAGGTATGCATGACGTCATGTTTGTGACAGTGAAATATAAAAAAAGTAAACACAACATACAGGTAAAAACATGTGTTTTACCTCTCTACTATTGATGCTTTTAAAAATTATCCGCATCCTGAGATTTACCCGTCAGTATTAACTAGTTTATCTTCCTTGTCCTTCACATATCTTGTCAGTGAGATTTGAATTTGTTTCTCTTTCTTGATATTCATTATTTTCATCACATGTTGATTCTCTTTGTTTTCTACATTAGTTTGTAAATAATTAGACACTTCTGTTTCCTCGTGGATTCTTTTTTTAACAAATGGCAGTTACAGTTCACCAGCAGTTGACCAATTTACTGAGCTAGACAAGAAGAACACAGACCTGACCTTTGATTCTGGTGTTCATGTAAAATGGCCTGCACTTGTTAGGAAACATAAAGATATACTGAGCCTTTGAAAATCATACACTCATGCTTGTTTCATTGTCATCTCATGCCTCTTAGACATTCACTGTGAATTTGTGGAGACTGAAAAGGGTTAAAACATCTGTTGATTACAGAGAATATATAACCTGTTTAAGGGCTGTGGAGGTTACAAAGTTAATTCATTACATCAGTGGCATGGAGTCACCAACAGTGATAGTTTTCCTACAGAGTGATATATGTTTTATAATTCCTCATCCCATTTTTCTCCTTTTCCAAACCCACATCCCTTAATAGTTAGTGAGTTACTATTTTGAGTGAAGACCCAGGTTAAGTGCTCAATAAGAAATTTCTTTCTTAAAAAATCGGAGGAGAGGATACAAACCCAACCTGCACAGTCCATGGCAACTGTACCAGCCATGTGGGCCTATATCCTCAAGTTCAAGATACATCTATGCTACGCCACATTAGCATGTGATATATAAATACAATAATGACAGGTTTATTGAAGATTGAACTGCAGACTACCATAGGTAAGCCTCTGCACTAACTACTGTCAGATCAGACCTCCCTTACTATAAATTTGACATGCTCATCCTGAACATATCCTAGTGAAATATTACACTTAGCTAACAGCTCATAAATAGTATAAGTTTTTACCGCATTCAATGTCGTTTATGAAAATAACCACTGGTTGGTTGTTGAACAATGTTTAGGAGTTTAACTTTGCCTTATGTTGCTGTAAACTGCAAAAGAAAGTTCTGGCTGTTCATCCAGTTCTGTGCTTTGGTCTTGTCACCTTTTACCATATGCGTGCTGCCTCCCCCCCCCCCCCCCACACACACACAGTGGGGCCCCAAAACTAACACGCTTAATTGTGATGTCTGGAAATGCAGAGTTTTGATAAACAGTTTGTTACTTTGGCATGCTGCGCTTGGTACACATCCATGTTGACTGGGTGTATATGATAGCACACATCCCTACTAACTATATTTCATAGCAGATCCAAGTTGAATCTTTTAAATCTTGTATCAAATTAATGGAATTTCTCACATAATGAGATTCAAATTGCCCGAGTTCTTAGTAACATGTGTTATGTCTTCTATCTTACCAACAGAGAGTTGCAGTCAAACAGTATAACGGAGATACGGCCAGACGACTTACAGGATTTGCGCAACCTTCAGTATTTGTAAGTGATACACTGTATTTGTAATGTTTTCTTAGCTCTGCTGACATGATAGGCTGCTTGGTAGGTTGAGGATTGTTTACTCTAGAGAAATTATTATTCTGCATGTGTTTTTGAAAGGGTGGTTGGCACGTTATGTTGTGGTTTATAGCTACGCATGAAATCTGCACCTCGCGATATCACCTTTCGGCCCCACACACCCGATTTCAACAAACCTCTAATCGGTCTCCCTTTACAGCATGCTTGTTATTGTGGGGGGGGGGGTAGTAGATTTATCTGTGCATCTATAAGATTAGCTTCTGGAACCCGCACAGTGTGATCCAGAGAACTGGGTTTGGACTTTTTAAGCGATGCAGGCGGGAGTTTTTTTGCCATAAAAGGGGGTTGCATTTTTGCTAAAGGAGGTTGGTGTAAGGCTTTCCTAGACATTTAGTGCACTAGTTTGTTGTTGTAATTTTCATTCCTGATTACCATACTGCATTCTTAAAGGTGTGAACAAACGCACATAATTCAGTAATCTTGGAAATACAGTCAGTCCCATGTCTAGAATCCTCTATGCCAGGGCCATACGACCTAAGTTTACTTACTAGCCAGGGTGTTGACAGTTAGGATTGTTATGAGCCGGGGGCATAGATTACAATGTCATTTATCCATGGGCCACTTGTTAGGCTTCTGCTGGCCAGATTTGTATCGCAGACCGCCAGCTGCATAGCTCTTCCCCAGGCTTTAATATATACTAGGTACTACATCACACCTTGATGCAGTGTAATGGCAATTTCCTTCTTTGCAGAATCAGGAACATGCTAAAAATTACTTTGTACACATTAAGTCTATATCAGTTCTTTCCCACTATCTTCCCCCAAACAGACAGTCGGATATTTTGGTGGGTGGTAGATAGGCTGCTTGCAGTCTTGGGACCTAGGCTGTGCTCTCTTATGGGACAGGTTGGTTGGGGTTAGGCTCAGTTCTGAATGTTTTGGGGTGGTTAAAAGCATAAAAAAATCAGAAACCCACCCTTGCCACTCTCAGAAATATTGGACTGTCCTGTGATGTCATCCTGGCAGGAGATATTGGGAAAGCACTTCTGTTTTTAACCCATAACTGTAGTTGTGTAGGAAATAATGTTCTACTGAGAATAGAACTCAAACCATTGTAATAATGATAATTATGTGACATTATGGCATAGAGAATCATCTGTGTCAGAGTTGATTGAAAGTACATGAGACAGGGTTGTGGATAGCCATGACTACCAACGCCACACAGCATGGACTTTAAGAAGTATATTGGTGATTAGTGAAGACTAACTAACATCACATCACATAGATTCAAAAGTGCTCCGATCTCTTTTGCAGTAGCTCCGCACAGGTGATTAAAGTGTATATGGTGAGCTACCAGTGTGCGTAAATAATTAAGGCAAACACTAGTCTATTTCTCAGAGCCTCTTTAAATTGCAAGATTTGTAAAAAAAAAAATGTTGTTTTACTGTTACTGATTTTATTACTATTATTATTTCTTCTGATATTACTATTGTTTCAGTTACTGCTGCTGCAGCCGCTGTTTCGTTTTTATTGCTATGCTACTACTGCCTACCACTACTACTGCTACTATCACCACTGCTACTACTATCGCTGCTATTAATGCTGATACTGACTTAATCACTGCTGCTGATACTACTACTGTCATAACCTTCACCACCACCACTGCTACTTTTAGCCTACAGAGCTGACGGAGACTTGGGGGATCGCCGCTGGAGCTACAGAGTTTGTGCTTTGTGCGATGCTCTCGGCAGGGGGCTAGCTTTTCTGCGGAGAGACGCACGTTATTTGCTAGCTGTGGCAATCCCTATCGCTTTCATATTCAACAGTATGCGATAACAATTTCTTTCATGTCTGCAGTTTGTTTTAATCACAACGGTAGCCCGCGAGAGTAAGGTCGCTTTCAGCCACCATGACTAGGCTGCTGAATTCAATGTACCATAATGTCTCGCGCATAGTAGCCCCTAAACACCGAGGACCTGAATGCAGGTGGACCTCAAAGACAGAGACGGGGGAGCCTGGCTTTATTTAGATTGGCCTTGGGTTAATGTTGTCAGATCCGTAGGTCAACACCAGTAGCCAGTGCCCAGTGTGTGTGTGTCATCCTGCTGCTTATGGCCTTAGTTGTCGGTATGTAAGAGTATTTACAGTCTCCCTTTTAAAGTGGTTCTTTAGGAGATGTTTGAGGAAGTTTGGTGACCATCCCGTGAATGAATTCTGACCTGTTCTGCAAAGTGAAATGGTAACAGAGTAGCTGCGTTATAGGAAACAGCTAACCCATAGTCGTTAAGCTCTCTTTTTCTTTCTCTCTCTCCCGCCATATTTCCATCTCTTTCTCTCTCTTCTCCTCTGTCTCGCCCACCTTGTCTTTGTCAAATTTGATACTCACATTCTGTCACCCTAATACTATTTGTACCTTCTCCATCAGCCCCCACCACTCTCCCGCCCCACACCACACGCTAACGATATATGTGCTGTGAGTTACCATAACCTTAACTATTCATCCGTGACGTCTTTTAGTTACTAGAAGGCACCTAGTGGAACTAACATATTATACGCAGTGCTACCTGTTGTCTTTTCTGTCCCATGTGTCTCACTGCCTAAACACCTGCATGTGTCAGTCACACTGCAGAATTGTACACGACCGCTGAGGTTTCACATCCTTGCTCGTTGATCAAACTGGTTTGGCATTTGATAAATAATTGCTGCATGCAACCTGCAGTTGGCACCTTATAAATAAGCTGTTTGTCACTGGCTTAATGGCACCGATGACAGCCGAGGTAATGGCACAGTCAGCGCCTGCTAGGGGCTAGTTTGTGCCGTTTTCTCTTGCCTTGTTAGGGTTATTGTGACTTTTCCCTCCTGTTTTGTAACCAGAAACACAACAGCCGGGGGAAATTATCCCTCTATGGCAGGCGTGTCAAACTGAACGTCCCCCCGAGGGACATATGTTGTCGAGGGGACCACACACAAACTGGAGTCGTTTAATTAAATTGAAAAAAAATTATTAGTAACTTATGTATCCTTTGTGAAGGCTGCAGGTGTGGCTACAAAGGGCCAGCACGCAGTATGTTTAACATGTCCCCTCTATGGTAAATTACAGATGAGTAGAAGCCGGGGTCGGTTGTTGCTACTATTTAAGGATGTTTACAATCGGGATATGTATGGTACATGTTTTGAGGCGGATACATGTGAACAGAGAACCACGGTCAGCTTGGGAAGGGGGGGGGGGGGGGGGGACTGGATGCTGATTCGAAGCTAAGACCTTCAGACTGTTATATTGTGTCTTCATTAATGAACCGCGGGGACATAGAGATTGGCGCGGTTTGAGCGCGAAATTCATTTCAGTGACAATGGCCCCCGAAAGTTGCTATTAATCTGACGGCCCCTTAAATGCTGACTAATCTAAACAAAACATAGACTGGCACCGTATATCCATTACATCACATAGCGTGGGAAAAATGGGGGGGGGGGGAGGGGCGGGTCTTTATTTTGTTAGCTTACTGTTTATGTTACTCTACTTCCAGTCTAGGTTCCAGTTCCCTCTCGAGGAAAGAGAGGGGGAAGGGGGTTACACCCCCCCCCCCCAACACACATGACGCATAAGGCGACTAAATATCTTCTTAGATGACAAATGTTGAACCCAAAAGCCCGAATATCGCAGCCTAGTTGTAAACCAGAACGCGACCTGTCAAAATTCTTTTTAAAGGCAAACACACAAGAAGCTACCCTGTCCACTGCGTCACCTGGTTAGGAATTGAACCCGCAGTCAGACAAATCATCAAGTATATGCCCTCTCGCACTCACCCCGAAGACACCCGGATGAAGCCTCACGTGGATGCGTGCATTCCACGGAGGTTCTGGCTGGTCTTAAAGGGCCTGGTGTGGAAACGCACGTGTCTGCTGCTTATTTGTGAAATCCAGGCACCACCATTCGGGGAGGGCTGGCGAAAGGTCAGGGTGTGAATTGGCCGACACAGCCTGAACCCTCATCTGTGGGAGACATGTGTTCCTAAACAGACATCTCCGACCAGCATAGGCCTAGCGGAAGAGGAAATGGTGTACGCCTGGCTTCCCCCTAATATTGTTAGTACAGTTTCTACAGAGCTGGCTCTATATAATGTATCTATATATATCTATCTACTATATGTAATCTATCTGTCTAATTATTGGTATGTCTGTATTATTATTTTGGCGCAGATTACATATCCTCTTATAGGATACACGTATTATAGGCATATCATATATTTTCACAGTTGTCACAATTTATTGTTGTATAGAAGTCTGGGCATAATTCGAGCACATGCCCGCGTTTGCAATTTACATTTAGTTGTTGTCGGTGATGTTTATTATTACCTAGTATTAAAATGTGGGTGAATAAAATAATGTATGACACGAGTGTCAGGGGTGCAACACATTAGATCGCACAACGTGCCTAGTTGTAGCCCTTTGAAATTAAAGTTGCTTAGATCATTGTTTTGTCGGTTGTGTCATGTTGGTCTATATCAGGCAAGTCTGCTGTGAATATTCGTAATGACCACTTGCTGCTGGCATGACTGGACATATTTTGACAGCCCGTCTCTCTAGCGTAGTTGGCTAAACCGGATTGCGCGGTGAGCGGGTGACGAATGCCTTGTGGTCCGGGTTCAATCCCGGGGGTGGGCAGAAAAGCCACATTTCTCCCAGTTTTACGGTATTTAAAATGAAATCAAGGCCGAAATGTTGCGATATCCATAATACCGACCCTAAGGGTTAACAACTCTTCAAGTTGGGAACTAACGGCATTTTAGACGTAGCACAGGGGTCCTACCAATGTAACGGGTCAAAGGTCGTGTCTGCTTTCTTCAGGTCTGAAGAGTGGTTTTCCCCCCCAAGAAACCGCTCGCGAAGTGATATCCAGGTAGCCCTATTGTCCCATACCCGAAGCCTCCTTGGGGTTTCATGTCCATGAGTGTGCACTCACTGGTC